CCTTGGCCTCCCAAAGTGCTGGGATTACAGGTATGAGCCACTGTGCCTGGCCAGAGGTTATTATTAACCTTAAGAAGAGCACTTTTGGCTGAGTGGTGGGGGAACATGCCTGCCTGGCAAGAAGTAGAGAAGAAAAAGGGAGAAGAGGAATGATCAAAGTGAGCCTAGATAACCCTTCAGAGCATTGCTTAGCTAGCAGAGCAATGAGGCAGCAGCTGTAGGGGCAGTGGGGTCAAGAGACTTCCCTGAACACATACCTTTGTGCCTTTCGGAAATGCCTTTCTCCTCATTCACCTGGTGAACTTCCACGTTTTCTTGAGGAGTTAACTCAGGCATGTCTGTACTGACCTCTCTCTACTATCTGCACTGATTCATCAAAAAAGACTTACTGTGTACCTGTTATGAAAGACTCTAGTCAATGAACTCATTAATGAACAATGAGCCAGCCTGATAAGATCTCTCTCCGCTTTCCTGGAGATTATGTTCCAATGGGAAGACAGGGAAGACGGAAATAAACAAACAGGTGGAAGAACTGATTACTGTAGATTATGGTAGCTGGGTGCCAGCCATAAACTGAGTGTGTGATGGAATGTGAGATGTAGGGGTCATGGAAGGCCTTTCTAGGGGGCTGACCACTGAACTGAAACCTGAAGGATGCTGCCATGCAATGCATGTTTGTGTCCCTACCAGATTCCTATACTGAAGCTCCAAACCCTGATGTGATGGTATTTGGAGGTGGGGTCATGGGGTCTTTGGAGGTGATTAGGTCATGAGGGTGACACTCTCATAAATAGTCTTAGTGCCTTTATAAGAAGAGACATGGCAGGGTGTGGTGGCTCACACTTGTAATCCCAGCACTTTGGGAGGCCAAGGTGGGCGGATCACAAGGTCAAGAGATTGAGACCATCCTGGTCGACATGTGAAACCCTGTCTCTACTAAAAATACGAAAATTAGCTGTTTGTAGTGGCATGTGCCTGTAGTCCCAGCTACTTGGAAGTCTGAGGCAGGAGAATCGCGTGAACCCAGGAGGCAGAGGCAGAGGTTGCAGTTGAGTCGAGATTGTGCCACTGCACTGCAGCCTGGGCGACAATGAGACTGTCTTAAAAAAAAAAAAGAGAGATATGAGGCGAGGTGTGGTGGCCCACGCCTGTAATCCCAATGCTTTGGGAGGCTGAGGTGGGCAGATCACAAGATCAGGAGTTTGAGGCCTGGCCAAGATGGTGAACTCCGTCTCTAGTAAAAATACAAAAATTAGCTGGGTGTGGTGGTGCGTGCCTGTAATCCCAGCTACTCAGGAGGCTGAGGCAGGAGAATCACTTGAACCCAGGAGGTGGAGGTTGCAGTAAACTGAGATTGTGCCATTGCACTCCAGCCTGGGCAATGAAGTGAGACTCTGCCTTCAAAAAAAAAAAAAAAAGACATAAGAAAGATGGTTTCTCTCTCTACTATGTGAGGATATAGCAAGATGTTCACCTACAAATCAGGAAGAAGGCTCTAACCAGGAACTGAATTTGCTAGCTGTGGCCTTGGACTTCCCAACCTCTAGAACTGTGAGAAATAAATTTCTGTTGTTGGCCAGGTGTGGTGGCTCATGCTTGTAATCCCAGCACTTTGGGAGGCCCAGGCAGGCAGATCACAAGGTTAGGAGTTCAAGACCAGCCTGGCCAAGATGGTGAAACCCTGTCTCTAGTCAAAATACAAAAATTAGCTGGGCATGGTGGTGTGTGCCTGTAATCCCAGCTACTTGGGAGACTGAGGCAGGAGAATTGCTTGAACTGGGACATGGGAGGCAGAGGTTGCAGTGAGCCGAGATTGAGCCACTGCACTCCAGCCTGGGCTATAGAGTAAGACTCCCTCTCAAAAAAAAATTCTATTGTTTAAGCCACCTGTCTGTGATTGTATCAGGCTGCTTTTGCATTGTTATAAAGAAATACCTGAGGCTGGGTAAATTGTAAAGAAAAGAAGTTTAATTGGAACCTGGTTGTGAGACAGTACAGGACACGTGGTGTTGGCATCTGCTCTTGGGAAGGTCTCAGGAAGCTTACAATCATGGTAGAAGGTGAAGGGGGAGCAGGCATGTCACATGGTGAGAACGGGAGCAAGAGTGCAGGGAGGTGCCACACACTTTTAAACAACCAGGTCTCCTGAGAACTTACTATTGTGAGAATAGCACCAAGAAATTCATGAGTGATCTGCCCCCGTGATCCAAACACCTCCCACAAGCCCACCTCCAACTCTGGTGGATTACCATTCAATGGGAGATTTGGAGGAGACAAATACCCAAACCATATCAATGGTATTTTTGTTCTAGCGCCTTAACTGTCTTAAGACAGATATAGAGGAGCCAGGTCAGGAAGGGCCAGTCTTCCAGGCAGGGGGAACCAACTGAGCAGAGGCCTTAGTGGAAAGAAGTGAAGTGGTGGAAGAAGAGAAAAGGGTCTCCAATGGTAGCGGTGGCCTCAACTGGGGGAAGGTGGAGGGAAGGAATAAAGGGAGCAAATGACAGAAGGCATGGGAGGCCTAGACAAGGAGTTTCAGTAGTGCTCGAAGTGTGCTGGGGTTCCGGCAGAGGTTCTGGCCCATGAGCCGTGGAGAGATGCGACGTCTTTGCTGCATGGTGGCAGTGGAGATGGAGGAGTGCATGCAGACAGACAATTCTGGAGGGAAACCAGCTGATGGACTGGGGGTAGTGAATGACAGAAGGGAACAAATCACGCCTGGAATCCCAGCACTTTGGGAGGCTGAGGTGGACAGATTACCTGAGGACAAGAGTTTGGGACTAGCCTAACCAACCTGGGGAAACCCCATCTTTACTAAAAATATAAAAATTAGCTGGGTGTGGTGGTGGGCACCTGTCATCCCAGCTACTGAGGAGGCTAAGGCTTGAGAATCCTTTGAACCTGGGAGGCAGAGGCTACACTGAGCCAAGATCATGCCACTGCACTCCGGCCTGGGCAACTGAGCAAGACTCTGTCTCAAAAATAAATAAATTGATTAAAAAAAAAAAAAATATATATATATATATATCAGGAATCACCTCTTTGTCATGAGCAGCCAGGTGGATGTGATATGGTACCATTATCTGGAAGTGAAAGATATCTAGAAAGAAGGAGAATTAGGCATGAAGACAGGGAATAAGTGGGGGTGGGGAATAGACAACTGCTTGGAAGACAAGAAAGTAACATCAGAGAAGTCTCCAGATAAAGTGTTTCCAGTAGTTGGAAAGTCACGAGGTAAAATGCCGCCGAGAGATGGCAAGGGGATGGCGTGGAGAAATCACTCTTCCGGCGCCCTCAAAGCTGCTTCTTCTCTGCCTTTCTCCTTCATTATTTGATAAATTGCAAGAAGGTTTGGGCCTCCTTTTAAATTCACCTTTATCTCTCTGGGCTCAACAGGGTGCCTTAGGAACAGAGGAGACTGCACAGTTCTGGACTGAAAATAACACTGGCAAGGAAACGCCCCAAGGTACTGTCAGCTGCCAGATGCCAGAGGGAGATCGAAGGGCTTAGACTGCTCCCTAAAAAGCCCTACCCAGAAGCGGCGTGTCACAGGCTCAACCCAGGGCCTTATAGGCTGCAAACTGCTCTGTCTTCTCTGAGCTAGAAAGGGTGTTCAGATAAGGCAGGGTGGGACCCTGTCTCATGAACACACAATTAGCCGGCTTTTGTCTTTGAATCTGACTGGAAGTGACTCATGGGCTGGAAAAAAACCCTTTGGAAACAAATGAGGGGGGAAAAAAAAGAGGGTAAGCCACGACTGCATTCTACTCTCAGATAAAATGCTGATCTCCTGTCCTATAAATGTGGAATAGTGTACATTTCCTCAGCCTCCCTCCAACAAAGGCCCAGGGGAAATTATTAAGCCTGACGATTCACTCACTTTCTCCAAAAATTTTATTAAATGCAATTTAGAGGGGATAAAGTTTCTTCTCTTTTCTCTTTCTAGTCTCTTGAATAAGCCCTGATTACCACCAGGGTACAATAAATGGGCTTCTAGAAGGCTGCGGCAATTGGTGATGCTTTCCCTTTAAATTAACCAGTTGAAGTTAACCACTTTCAGCAGCCACCAGGGCACTTCCTGTCCACTCACAACTTGCTCAGTGCGATCTGAAGAGCATGTATTGAGCACCTTGTTACGGGGCACTGGCCTGTACTGTGGAGGATAAAAAACGTCTCTAGGGGTTTATGATGGGGGATGGGGAGCTTGTCTTGATCTCAGCTGACATACTGTGTAAGTTAATCTAGTAAAGGCCATGGTGGGATTTTTGGATTACAAGCAACAAAAACACAAACTAAGTTAAACAGTAAGAATTTGTTGTTAAAAATAATGGGTTGTCACAAGAAACCGGGGGCAGGCGGGGCTGTAGCAGGGACCCCGGAACCGGTGCTGCCAGTGACATCAGACTCTTGCTGGCCTCGGCCCTCTCCCCCAGACTGGCTGGCTCTGGCTCTACCTCTGTCTTTTGCTAGATCTCTATCTGTTTCTGTCCCTGTCCCTATCATGAGTTCTGCCTTCAGACTGGCCTCTCCTCTCCTGACCCTGGGAAACATGGGCATGCATTATAACATCTTGCCGTTTTAGCCCTGGGGAGAAACTGACTTTTTACTTCCAGTTTCAAAATTTCCCAAGAAGGCTTCTGATTGGACTCAAATATGTCAGGTCTTCCCGCTGGGACCAATCCCCTGTGGCAAGGTGGGGGAGGGAAATTTGAGAAGGGCTGTGAATGGTCAAGCTTAGGTCAGAGGTACAGTTTCCACCTCCCCGCCCCCACCCACCCCCACCCCCACCCCGTCAACAAAACAGTTCTGCCCTGTTAGCCTGTGGGTGTGGGTGAAGGTGGAAGTGGGTTGGAAGAGGCTGCGGGCTCTACAGAGCCGGGAGGGTAGGGGGAAGGGCTGAATTTAGGAAACAATGGGTCTAGCACTTTTGCTGACCGTTTTCAGAAAACCACAGGGGCTCTGAGCCGAGTGGAACTTGACTCTGGAAGGCGAGCGCCTACCTTAAAAAGGGGGTCTTATGAAATCTGAGTTTCACTTAATCCTCAGAACCACGATTGAGGCGCTTGTTCCTACTCCCATTTTAAGACGCGGGCTGCAGAGAGGGCAAGCACCCTCTCCACACAGAGCGAACACGACGGGTAGGGCTCAAGTCCAGGAGGTTCCCAAGCCCCCGTGCCGTTGGTGCCACGCGGTGCTCCCACCCAGCCCACTCCGCGGGAGAAAAACTACAGGCCTCGGAGGAGGAGCCGCTCCTCGCAGTTGGGTGGGGCAGAGGCCGGCGCGAGGCCTTGCTCGCTGGAGGATTTCCGCAGGCCTGAAACAGGCAGGACCGGAGCCCAGCAGGCGGGCCCGGGCCTGCGCATTCAGAACCCCCGACGAGCGACCGCTAAGCGGGTGGGCGCGCACCGCGGGGCCGGAGGGAAAGGCCCAGACCCTGCGGGGAAGGCCACGCCCCGAGTGGGAGCGCTTCCTTCCAGATCCCGGCCTCTCGCTGCAATTCGTTTTAAGGGCAGCCCTGCCCGGTTCACACCTAGCCTTGAAGATGACGGATTGCACGGTGAGCAATTTGCAGGGCGAGAACGGGAGCCCACGACTCTGCACCTGCACCGCCGGAGCCATAAACACAGCAAATCATGGCCCATAAAATGTCACCACTGCGGAGCTGCAATTTCCCAAGGGGGCTTCTGCAGAGGGAACTCCACCCCAGAGGGCGACCCTCGGCTCTGCAGCCTAACAGGGAGGCCCCTGCAGGGTGGGGGAGGGAACACGGAGGCCTTTCTTCTCCTCCCCATTGGCGCCTCAACTCCCCCCTTTGTAACCCAGCTCTGCCACGTGGTAAAAGCTTCCAGGGGGCCGGGGGGGGGGGCTGCATTAGTTATTTCTGCCTGAGGAGTTTTTGACCAAACGTAAACATCAGAGGAGCCGGAGCAGAGCCCCCGCCTGGGCTGGGCGTCAGGGACCCCGACGCCGCGGCGGCAGAGCCCGAGCTCCGAGCGGCGGCGGCGGCTGCAAGCCGCCCCTCCCCCACCAGGCCGGCGAGCCCATTTTTGCTTGGCCGGTCCCCGCGCAGCCGGATGGATTGCGCCCCACCCCCGCTCCTCTGCTCAGTCATTCAGACTTGGAAAGTCAATAACACGCTGACATCATCAGGGGTTTGTGTATTATTACACGGCTACTTTCCAGAGTACCTGGCATTATCTAAGAGAGGAGCACTCCGGCTGCCCAAGAAAGGGCCTGAACTGGGAGCTTGGCGGCCTCGGGGAGGGGCGGCTGCTCAGAGCCAGGCCTTTTCCTAGTGGGGAGAGCATTTACAGGGCACAAATTAGAAACAGATTAAGAGTTTTTGTTGCACTAAATGCAGATGCACTTTAGATATCGATACATGCTTCATTTTGGCTTGGGGTGCACTTATAAATCATCCTTAAGTGACCTCTATTTCTACCAGAGACATCCACTTGGTCTTTAAGAAGCATTCTTAGTGATCCTCAGAAAGGAAAAAAGGAGACATTTTCTATGACAGGAAGCCCAAAGGCTGATTTTTCTTTCTTTTTTTCCCCGAGACTCGTGTGTGTGTGTGTGTGTGTGTGTGTGTGTGCGCGCGCGCGCGCGCGCGCGCGGGTGCCCGCGATTCTCTGTTATGTAATCACCATCACGGGTGATTAGGTCTTCTAGATCTTCTCTTTCCCTCCGGGCTAAACTGGATGGTTTGGTTGCTGTGTTTTTCTTAAGCCTCACACAGGGCAAACACACATGAAAAACATGTTCCAGATTCATGGTGCAAAACTTATCTCCAAGCAAATTGCCTTAGAAGACTGTCTCATTTTTAGAGGAGGGAAACAGATGAATTTGTTGCTAATTAAGACTCCTTATCTTACTACTCTGGCATTTCCTTTTTTCTAGAACGAGATTTTAAAAATAATTTTATGTATTTTAGATGTTCCTTCTCCTCCCCCTTGCTGTAATGGTACTTGAAATAGCTTAAATAACTAATTAATTGTATAGACAACTGTACTTTTGTTCTGTACACACACACACACAAACACACACACACACACCCCAGTTAAAAAACATGAAAGGTAGGAACTCATAAAACATGGTACTTTTTCTATTTGGCCAAACAGGCTATTTCCTTCTTTACACCCACAAGGCTGATCTTACTTAAATTCTCTTAGCATCTTAAGTTGCAAAAAATGGCAGCCGGCTGAAAACTGGCTACCTGGAGAATTGCAAGGGGAGAGAGCTGTTCTTCAGCCTCCTCTAAATCTCTGTACCTCAGGCAGGGAGTGACCTCTGATTGATACAAGTCCTTAGAGCTCCCCAGGAGGAAGCAAAGCAGGCATATTTCTCAACAATGTAACAATTTCTCTATGTGTACTTGATCATTTTGGGAGAACTTGTAGTAGATTATGACTACTTCCCTCCAGATGGTCTGAAAGAAATAGGCTCCCACCAGACTTGCACTTCTAAAATCACTTCCCCAGGCCTGTCCCTCCCACCCCCCCACCCATTTCCCCTTTCGGAGGCGCAGGCAGCTGGGGAGGCCTGGAGCACCAGCCCTCCAAGATGGTCCAGCCTGTGTTGGGGCTGGCGGCTGAAGCTGCTGAAGTGGGGAAGGGTGGGGCACTCACCTCCAACTGGGAACTATTTACCTAGGGGGTTTCCATCAGCTTATTAGAGAGGAACATGCGGACCTGAGGGTCTGTCTCTTGACTTCTCAAGATGCAGAACTTTTTTAGTCTTTTTATTTTTATTTTTTGAGTCGGAGCTTCGCTCTTGTTACCCAGGCTGGAGTGCAATGGTGTGATCTCGGCTCACCGCAACCGCAGCCTCCTTGATTCAAGCAATTCTCCTGCCTCAGCCTCTCCCGAGTAGCTGGGACTACAGGCACGCGCCACCATGCCCGGCTAATTTTTTGTATGTTTAGTAGAGACGGGGTTTCACCATGTTGACCAGGATGGTCTCGATCTCTTGACCTCGTGATCCACCCACCTCGGGCTCCCAAAGTGCTGGGATTATAGGCGTGAGCCACCGCGCCTGGCCGAAACTCTTCAGTCTCTAAGCACTAATGGTTTTTAGCCCAGCGGACCCTCTGGTCTTTGCCTAAGCCCCTCTTGGACACAACTGCCCAATATAGGGATCCTTGTGAGGCAAGGACATGGGCCACCTCGCTTTGGGTGCTGAGCTGCAGCATCGGGCAACCGACTTCCTATCCTGGAGCTTCTCCCTAAGCAGGGGAGGACAAAGTCGGGAGGAGCAGCTTGGGTAGAACCTGATAGGCAGGAGGCTGGCTGCCAGTTGTCAAAGTTTAGCACCCCAAACTAGAGGCTGACAAGGTTCTTTGCCTAGCGAGGAATCTTATATGGCACAAAGGGGGAGAGAATTCAGTGAAGAGGAGCCATGTGGGGGGATGGAGGAGCAGGATTCTCTGCCCTGGAGAAGCTCAGTGTGTTGGAACAGGCAGGCACAGAAACGACCGCCTGAGTGAGGGCCTCTAAGGGGCTGGTCCTCTTATGCTAGTGGAAGGAGAAGAAACTCCAGGTGACTGTGGCATCAGGCTGTTCCTCCCACATCCAGGCCCTGGAGGAACCTTGGTAATCTGATGGGCTAGGAGCGGCCCAGGAGTGACACTATTTCCCCCATTTCTCTGAGCCTTCACTGCCAAATATTTGTGAGCTGGAAAGAACTGGCTGCATTTAGATTCATAGGCCTGTCTTCTTTAGGTGGTCCATGTGATGATTCCAGACGCGACATTCAGTTACCACATACAGCATCCTCCAAGGGACCCCTCTCTTTGATGCTTAAGACCATGGCAATGCTTCTTAAACTGGCTGTGGGCAAGATTTGTAATCCACTGCCCACTGACGGTTTTGCTTCTAAAAAATCAGAAAAATAAATTAAAACATATAAGATACAAGCCAATTTTTTTATGATTAGATGACAACATTACCCTGTGAAATTGTTCTGGATATTTCTAAATGTTACTGTCAGTTGCGACACACATCTCATTGTGGAGCGCAAGGAACCGCTGCTGCTCCTGGGACCGCACTTTGAGTCGCACTGCAGCAGACGCTGAACCTCGGTTTAGCTCCCATTTGTTTAGGTTGGCCTGAACAGTTTTTTAGAAAAATTGGATTACAAATCCAGAGGATTCACAGAAAATCCAGCTTTTCCTGAAATGTCAAAAGCTGTGGGCAACACAAGCCTTGTCAATAACTGGGTGGGGCTGAATAGCAGCTGCCCCTTTGAAGCCGGCGTTCAGCCTTCTGCGGGCTACAGTTCCAGCCCCTCCCTCTTTCTTATCTATAGGCAGGTTCACTCATTTAAGCTACCTGCTTGACTGCAAAAAGCATTGGAATCTGTGTATCCCTTAGCAGGATAGCCACTTGAAATGAACTGCTTGGGTATTTTTCTAGCCTTCCTACAGGGAAAGACCACTTCGCAAAGGTCAATGGCACCCATCCAGCGTGGTTCCGAGACAGGAAGCTGTGGTATAGCGCGGAGTTGCTGTGAGCCATTGGGTGTCCGGGATACTCTCTAGATAAGTGGGTCATTTACCTCACATCTGTATGGCTTAAAACCTTTAGATGTTATTTTGACGAATATAAAACTTCATTTAATAATTTATACATGGCTGGGTGTGGTGGCTCACGCCTGTATTCCAAGCACTTTGGAGGCCAAGGCGGGCAGATCACCTGGGGTCGGGAGTTCAAGACCAGTCTCACCAACATGGTGAAACCCCATCTTAAAATAAATAAATAAAAATTAAAAAAAAAAAAAATAATTTATACGTGTTATTGAGTACCTACCATTTTTTTGTTACTTGATTTTTCTTGGTTAATAAGTATAGAAAATAACATTATGATTGCTTTTATTATTAAAATGTTCAAGAAGGGATACTTTCTTATTAAAAAAAAAAAGGTTGGGGGACTGCTACTCCATGATAGTTGTCAGTGCATGTACCCCCTAAAAAAATCTTGAAAAGCAATGAATCCAGGGATCTCTTTAAAAATGACAGCTACAGTTTGGCATCCTGAGTGGAAGTTTTTGCAAAGGACATAATATCTAGTATATTGCAAAAGGCTGACATTTTAGCATAACATCACTTTAAAAAATGTATCCAATGGAATCCAAATGCCACAGCAATTGGATACCCATCATCGTTCACTTAAAAAATTCCTGAGCAAGCTCTTCTTTAACACTGGCTTGTTTGACATCATGTTTTTCTCCTTGAATTGATGTAGCCATACTTACATCTCATCAACAAAATAAATACAAATTTTAATTAAAAAGTTACGTGTGATCATGTGGCTCTAAGTGTTAATTTTTGTTGTTTTTTAGACGGAGTCACATGCTGTTGCCCAGGATGGAGTGCAGTGGCGTGACCTCAGTTCACTGCAACATCCACCTTCTGGGTTCAAGTGATTCTCCTGCCTCAGCCTTCCAGGTAGCTGGGATTACAGGCACGCACCACCATGCCCAGCTAATTTTTGTATTTTTGGTAGAGACAGGGTTTCACCATGTTGGCTAGGCTGGTCTCGAACTCCTGACCTCAAGTGATCTGCCTACCTGGGCCTCCCAAAGTGCTGGAATTACAGGCATGAGCCACTTTGCCCTGCTAAAGTGTTAATTTTTATTGATAATATATCTCTTAGTGAGGTGAATATGGCTTTTCTTCCAATTAGGTTCTGTAGCCACGGATGACTCATATTACCTATTACTAAATTTAAGAAGTTCAGCATCAATTCTGTTTCTAATTTATTGTTCACATATATACATGCATGTACACAGACATACTCAAGAAACTTGATCACAGATATAGGTGATAGCAGTAGTTTTTTAAATAGCAATATCATCCATAGATTCTCCAAACTCCTTTTGAATCATTTACCAAAGATCTCATGGCTTGCCAGAAATCAGTTGTGATTAAACCCTATTTTAGTCTTGTGGAGCAAAGAATAAGAAGTCATCTGATGAGCAGAAATACTTATTTTAAGTCATTGGAATTATTCTTCCTCTACATTATTTTTGTGTGTGTGTGGCAGTGTCTTGCTCTGTCACCAGGCTGGAGTGCTGTGGTGTGATCCTGGCTTCATTATTTATTTTTGTGTGTGTGTGGCAGTGTCTTGCTCTGTCACCAGGCTGGAGTGCTGTGGTGTGATCCTGGCTTCCTGCAGCCTTGACTTCCTGGCTCAAGCCGTCCTCCCACCTCAGCCTCCCAAGTAGCTGGGACTACAGCTGCACACCACCATGCCAGGCTAATTTTTGTATCTTTTGCAGAGACGGGATTTTGCCATGTTGGCCAGGCTGGTCAGAAATTGCTGGACTCAAGTAATCTGCCTGCCTCAGCTTCCTTAAGTGGTGTGATTACAGGTGTGAGCCACCACACCTGGCCATCTCCACCATCTCCACACTGATTTTGAGACTTAATTCTTCCTTTGCTGGTGCTCATGGTTGGGGCCATGCCCCACAGTGAGATTTGGAATGGGTAAAACATATGCATTTCTTCAGTGAAGTAGAAGGCAGGAGATAAAGAGATCACCTTGATGTTAAGCACTTTCTCAGATAGAATGCATGTAAGTTGAGGAAATAGATTCCCTTAAAAGTGTCCTTTTCTGGGTACCCTTTGGAAAGTCTTCATATACCCACAGTTTGAAGATGGCTCCCCTAGAAAAAAGTCAGTTCTGGGTTCTTGCAAAACAGGAAATATGTGGAGGTCGGTGTAGGCAGTGATTGTACTAATAACATACCATGTTTGAATTACAGGCCCAGTTGTGTTTTGTGGCCCATTCTAAGGAGCTGTCTGTTAGGGTTCCACTTAGGAACTGCAAGGGGGATCTTTGCTGGGAGCCTCTGGCTCCTCGTGGGGCTGCCAGTGGTTGGCGGCTAGGCTGGCATCGACAGCACTGGCCTTTCTCATAGCTACAGTTTAGCTCAGGATGTCATTCGCTTGCTTGGTTCCTCCTTTTCCACTGGCATAATTTTGGTGAGAATAACCTGGACACGGTTGTGCTTTTCTTCACCCATGCTTTCCCTCTACCATAGACTGAGGTGAAGAACGATTCTTATTCCTTCCTAGGTGTGGGCAGCTGTTTGTCCTCACCCTTCATCCTCCATTGCACAAACCATCTTCTCAGGTTGTTGTTGTTTGGAAGAAAATAGTTCAAAGTAGGCCGGGCGCAGTTGGCTCACACCTGTAATCCCAGAACTTTGGGAGGCTGAGGTGGACGGATCACCTGAGATCAAAAGTTCGAGACTAGCCTGGCCAACATGACGTAACCCTCTCTCTACTAAAAATATAAAAAAATTCGCCGGACGTGGTGCCTGTAGTCCTAGCTACTTGGGAGGTTGAGGCAGGAGAATCACTTGAACCTGGGAGGTGGAGGTTGCAGCGAGCTGAGATCGTGCCACTGCAGTCCAGCCTGGGCAACAGAGCGAGACTGTGTCTCAAAACAAACAAAAGCAACAACAAACAAAAGCAAGCCACAAATTTCTAAAGGAGATTGCTGGTAAGCCAGCATGCTCTTTTGGTCTTTACTTGCATTTTCTATTTATTTTTTTTGTAACATATATTTTATTGTGTTTTAGGTTTTGGGGAACATGTGAAGAACATGCAGGATTGTTGCATAGGAACACACATGGCAATGTGGTGTGCTGCCTCCATACCCCAGTCACTTACATCTGGCATTTCTCCCCATGTTATCCCTCCCCAACTCCCCACCCCTGACTATCCCTCCCCTAGTTCCCCCTGACAGACCCCAGTGTATGATGCTCACCTCCCTGTGTCCATGTGTTCTCATTGTTCAACACCCGCCTATGAGTGAGAACATGTGGTGTTTGATTTTCTGTTCTTGTGTCAGTTTGCTGAGAATGATGGTTTCCAGGTTCATCCATGTCCCTACATAGGACACAAACCCATGGTTTTCTATGGCTGCATAGTATTCCATGGTGTATATGTGCCACATTTTCCCTGTCCCGTCTATCATTGATGGGCATTTGGGTTGGTTCCAAGTCTTTGCTATTGTAAACGGTGCAGCACTGTTTACAATGGCATTTTCTTCTTTGTAGTTCTGGGGCTTTCCTCTGGAGGGAAGCCAGTCTTCCCTGCTCCTGGCCATTAATCTGTTCTCACCAATGAGAATACTGAGGGCCTTCAGAAGTCAGTCTCATTTTGGAGACACCTTAGGGATTTGGGTCCATTTTAAGGTATACCTGAGAAATTCAGTCTAGGACACTTGAAATCATTTTAAATGAAATGTGTTCTGTTAGTGATTGGAGAGGCTGAGATCACAGGAGCCTGTGTACAAAGAGAAGAGAGCCAGGAAACAAAACCCAGGGATCATATTAAACTAATACTTAAAAGGGTCACCAGCAATAGAGATGGGGAAGAAATAGCCAGAGAAGAAGAGTGAAAATCAGGAAATTTCTGTTTGCTTGCTTTTTATTTTGCAAGGATGTTAAGGATGGCAAGAGAGTTCAACAGTGTGAAAACAGCTCACAGATCACAGAAATAAAGCATTGCATGGGCCTAAAAGGATGAGCAGCTGTCTTCGCAAAAGCAGTTTCTGGAGAGAAGTAACAGGTAGGAACCTACAATGGGTGAGAAGAAAGTGGGTGGTGTGGCCAACCTTTTATTTATTATTATTATCATTTTTGAGACGGAGTTTTGCTCTTGCTGCGCAGGCTGGAGTGCAATGGCGCGATCTTGGCTCACCACAATTCCGCCTCCCTGGTTCAAGTGATTCTCCTGCCTCAACCTCCCGAGTAGCTGGTGTTACAGGCATGTGTCCCATGCCCGACCGACACAACCTTTTGATAAAGATTGTGTTGTGATGGAGGAATAGATAGATATATATGAGATGGGCGCTGCGTCAGCATACTGATAATGCTGATGATGGCAAGGAGCCAGGAGAGAGGCAGAGCTTAAAGCTGTGAACACACCAAGGACAAATAATAGTGGGAAGGGGCGAAAATGTCAGAAAGGTTGCAGTCCAGAGGGGAGTGAAATTTATGATGCATTGAAAGTCTCCCCCACTTCTTTTTACAAAAGAGAGAGAATAGAATATGGAAACGAATGTCTCATCACTGCACCCACAGGGTGGTTTTCTGTGTAATTTGCTCACGAGTTTTGGAGCTGTTGCAGGGGACACTTCACATATTCGGCTCTGTATTTCCACTTTTTGTTTGTTTAGATGGAGTCTCACTCTGTTGCCCAGGCTGGAGTGCAGTGGGGCGCCCTCTGCTCACTGCAGCCTCTGCCTCCCGTGTTTAAGCAATTCTCTTGTCTCAACCTTCTGAGTAGCTGTGGTTACAGGCATGCACCAACACGCCAGGCTAATTTTTTTGTATTTTTAGTAGAGACAGGGTTTCTCCGTGTTGGCCAGGCTGATCTTGATCTCCCGACCTCAGGTGATCCACCCACCTTGGCCTCCCAAAGTGCTGAGATTACAGCCATGAGCCACTGTGCCTGGCCTGTATTTCCATTTCTTAACTCAACTTCTGCACTTAGTAGGCATTATGGTTAGTAAGCACAATTTTAGTATTTATTTGTTTATTTATTTAGTTTATTTTTTATTTTTTGAGACGGAGTTTCGCTCTTGTTACCCAGGCTGGAGTGCAATGGCGCGATCTCGGCTCACCGCAACCTCCGCCTCCTGGGTTCAGGCAATTCTCCTGCCTCAACCTCCTGAGTAGCTGGGATTACAGGCACGCGCCACCATGCCCAGCTAATTTTTGTATTTTTAGTAGAGATGGGGTTTCACCATGTTGACCAGGATGGTCTCGATCTGTTGACCTCGTGATCCACCCGCCTCGGCCTCTCAAAGTGCTGGGAATTTTAGTATTTATTGATGCAACCAGTTATTTTTTTAAAAACAAAAGATTAGAGCATTAGGCTCCATTTGTAAGACAGACAACAAGAAAAACAGCCCAACAAACCCCGAAAACAAAAAACCAACCCAAGACAGAGGATGAAAGATAAAGCAGTTCCTACCAAATTTCAAGCCTGGCTGCTAATTTCTCCAGATGCATCACAGCCAAATCAATCAATCAGTCAGTCATCAACCAATCACAACCCAGGTGCAGCATTAACTGGCTTCACTTTTCAGGTCAGCTGTGCTGGGTTGGCTGCATACAAACATGTTTTTAAATTTCTTATTTCCACAGAGAAATTCAAAGACCAACAGTTTATGTATGCAGAATCCTCATGCTGTAGACACACAACTCAAAATATACTGTAACTACATTAAGAAATAGAAGTCACAAGGCCAATAGAAAATATTAGATGTTCTCCCCCAAATTCTTTAGCTTGGGGTTTGTTTGCCACATAGCTTTACTTTTGCGGAACAGTTTTGTGAGGTGCCTCCTTTTCAAGGATGTGCGCTAGTTAGGAATCTGCTGCAGTAAAAACATGGGCAGCTATAGAAACTGTGTCTAAGTGAGGACTCCCTTGGTCCGAAAGACTGTCGGCTGTTTTAATTGAATCCATTCATTAGCCTGTCTCATCAGTGCATGATGCTAAGACTGTGTACGAGAATGTGAATACATATCCAGGGCCAGACAATTCATGATTTTGTTATTAAAAGAAAGTTGCTGGTAGAATTCCATCCATAAATATTTGAGTAGAGTTACAGAGGGACTGGCAGGCTGTATTCATTCAAATTGGCTTTACTGGTCAGCTTTTCAGTTGAAGCCTGTGAGAAATTTGCCAAAAGAAGACTGAAAAATCAAGCTCTGTCCCAGCATGTAACTTGGAAGGATCCTAACTGACTATTTGTGGGGCAGCTTTTCAGCTGGTAAGCAGACCTGGTCAATTTCTTTTTAAAATGCCCCCTGCATCTGTCTCGTTTTCCTTCTATTACCAGCTGATCCAAGCCTTTATATCTCACCAAGCAATTACTGCAACAGTTCCCAACTGGGGCCTGTGCTTCCAGGCCCTGTCAACTTCAATGCAAACTCTGTCAAGAGGATTTTTTAGATCACCACTCCCCCTTGGTCATTTCTTTGTTTTTGTTGTTGTTGTTTGTTTTGTTTTTGAGACAGAGTCTCACTCTGTCACCCAGGCTGGAGTGCAGTGGCGTGATCTCCGCTCACTGCAACATCCGCCTCCTGGGTTCAAGCGATTCTTCTGCCTCAGTCTCCCTAGTAGCTGGGACTACAGGCGCGGGCCACCACACCTGACTAATTTTTGTATTTTTAGTAGAGACGGGGGTTTCACCATATTTGCCAGGCTGGTTTCAAACTACTGACCTCATGATCCGCCTGTCTCGGCCTCCCAGAGGGTTGGAATTACAGGCGTGAGCCACCTCTCCTGGCCTGCTCATTTCTTTGTTTAAGAATCTAAGTGCAAATTCTGGTATATTGTGATTAATGCTTAAGAATCCCTGTGTTTGAGAGGAAGGTGTTATCATATTAATGAGTAGTGCCAAACACATTGTGCATATCTACAGTTTAATCCTTCAGTGTATGTTACTGGATTAGCTCCCTCCTCCTTCCGTGTGATGGCACTATCCATAGAGTCAGTCACATCCTCGTGATGTTTTATATGGAGTTTGGCAACATGTAAATCATGTGTGAAGGAAGTTTTTATGATTAAGGAACCAGATTTATTATTTTTTTATTGAAAGTTGAAACAACACATATGAACAAAAAGGAAAGAATATACTCTTTTCGTGGACGATAACACAAAAAAATCTAAGTGCCTGGGTATTGTTTACTGAATCAAGTAGGGATTTTTATTTTGAAGCGAGATTTATTTATTAGCATAACTAAAACCATACGCCTTGATTAAAAGTGACATTGAAAGTAGTGAGACTAGGTCCTTTCTAGGAAGAAAGGCATTCGAGAACTGTGAGAAATGAAAAAGATTTTAGTTCAAACCAGGGTCATCCAGGGTCTAGTGCTTATATGACTGTGAGAGGGCCTCTTTTTTAAAAAAAAAAAAAATAGAAAGTATATAAATACAAAATTAGATGTAGGTCTTGGAAGGAATTAGGGCTTGAGCTTATTAGCTTAGTAGTAAATCTGCCTCTGGGTCAAACAAACACGGCCTAATAGCTGAGTTTATTTGTTTTGAATTTTCATATTTGGATCAAAGTGATACATTCATGTGGAATCAACTCCGATTGTGCCTTAAAGCTTAGGATGAACAACATTCTCTGGTCCCCACCCTCCTCATCCTTAGTTCCCGCCCCAGAGACAAGCTATTTTAGCTTTATTTTTCCTTCGGTGTTTATCACAAAAGGTTTCGTACTATATGCTCATAATGTTTTTATGATTAATCTAATTTAAATAGTACCTACTGACATTGCTATGGCAGATGAGGATTTATCTTATTTCCTGCCACCTCTTCTCAATGTAGTAACTATTATTGCTTTTTAGTGATTATTATTGCTTTCATTAGTCCTTAGTAGCTTAGTCTAGTAACTAGTTTTAATTTTAGTTTTGTGTGATTTAGAAACGGCTCTATGGTCTAATTCCACTGTCTTTCAACGTGTGGCATCTCTGCTGGTCTCTTTTGTTGCTTCCCTTTGCACACTAGATGCATAGTGCCCCTCTTCTCCAGCTCCGCCTTCTTTGCCTATTGAAGTCCTTTCCATCCTTCAAAGCCCGGATCAATTCTTACCTCATCCATAAATCTTAGCTGTTCCAACAGACTTTGGTATCTCTCTTTGAATGCTTCTCATTTGACTTCTGCAACACGCAGTTTAGCACTTGATTATAAAGCTTATTGTTTGTTTCTGAGCCCGGCCCCGCCTCCTCCCTGGAGCCAGTCACTGGATGTTTTGCAAGGCTGGCTCTCAGTAAGTGTTTATTGAACTGAATCGTTCTGTCCTCTGATTGTTTCAGATTTGTGAGTCTTACCTGCCTCGCTAGATTATAAACATCACATATTCTTGCATTTTCCCCAGTGTGAAATGCAGACTAGGCACTTAATAATAATTAATTGTTGAATAATTCTGATCTTTTGCTTCATCCACATTATCTTGAAGCATTTCTCCTTCATTTACTGGAAGATAGGAGAGGGTAAGTGAAAGCATACTATTTAGTTTTAACTCTGGGCCATATTTCAAAAAATATGTTTTATCTGTCTTTTCTTTGTGAGCGTAATTCTTCTTTCTCATTCATTCACTGAGCTCCCAAGAATGTTGTTAAATATTGCTTTAAAAATATCCTTCAAGGTAGTTCTTATGTGCAGAAAAGATTACTGAATTTTTTTGTTTTAAAAATTAATAATCAATTAATTAATGTTACAACTCCATACGTGTAGTCCTTTTTAAGCTTTGAAGTTCATTTTATAAATCTTATTTTTCTGTTTATAAATACAGCTAATTTTAACAATCATTTTTAAGGGGGTTGTTGACTAATATTTGGTCCTTTCTACAAACCTAAATAAACAGCCTGGAACACTTAAAATTTCATTTATAATTTAAATGTGCTTGGTTTTCCTTTTATAGACTATGGTTGTTTGTTTTAACTAACAGAACCCTTTCTAAGTACTTAAATAACTGTTGTAAATCTAACAAATCAAGTTCAGCTATGGGAACACTAAAAATCACTTAAATCTTCCAATATTCTATAATTAAAATTACAACTCTAAATCAATAACTCAATCATATATTTTAAATTGGAATTACAGGGCTGAACTGTTACATGAAGAGGCCAAAGTCTCATGTGACTAAATTCCAAATATTCACAAATCCCTTAATAACAAAATTATAAAGATTACAAGATTCATTTTATTAAACATTTATCAACTCAATTTCCAAAATTTATGGGAATTATAAGATACTTATCTGGCTGGTCATGACAGCTCATGCCTGTAATCTCAGCACTTTGGGAGGCTGAGATGGATCGCTTGAGGCCAGGAGTTCAAGACCAGCCTGGCCAACACAGTGAGACCATGTCTCTGTAAAAACATCAAAAAAAAAAGATGCTTATCTATTATGAAGCAAATGTGTTACTCTGATGAATGTTGGGGATTGCTGTCTGTCTTAGTTCCAGCCGCTATAACAAATTCCCATAGACTGGGTGTGTTAAATAACAGAAAATTTTCTCACAGATCTGGAGCTGGAAATCTAAGATCATGCACCAGCATAGTAGGGGCTTGGTAAAGGCCGTCTTCCTGGTTTACAGACCACAGTGTTTTCATTGTACCCTCTCTTGGTGGACAAAGAGATCATTTCTCTAATGTCTCTTATAAAGGCGTTAATCCCATTCATAATTCCCTACCAAAGGCCCCCACCTTTCAAATACCATTGAATTGTCCTGGCGAGGTAGCCCCGTGCCTGTAATCCTAGCACTTAGGGAGGCCGAGGTGGGCTGATCACAAGATCAGGAGATCGAGACGATCCTTGCTAACATGGTGAAACCATGTCTCCACAAGAAAAAAAATAAGAAAGAAAATTAGCTGGGCATGGTGGCACGTGCCTGTAGTCCCAGTTATTCAGGAGGCTGAGGGAGGAGAATCACTTGAACTTGGGAGGTGGAGTTTGCAGTAAGCCAAGATTGCACCACTGCACTCCAGCCTGGGTGACAGAGCAAGACTCCGTCTCAAAAGAAAAAAAAATTCCATCACATTGGAGATTTAGGCCTCAACATTTGAATTTTGGAGGGACAAAAATATTCAGTTTGCCACCTTTCTACTTGATTTTGGGAGTTGTGTTTTTGGCTTGTTGAAGGCGCTTCCTGTCTGGCGAAGATGGCCTGGGTGTGAGTAGAGCGTCATGTTGGACTAAAATGGTCTGGCAGGCCTCTTTTCATAGTTACGGGGTAAATGGCTCCATTCGGGGTGATCAGATGTTCACTAGATTCGACTGAAACTTTTCCTAATTTTGTCTGTCAGGGAAGTCTGTTACTTAACCAGGTTTTAGATATGCAATCTGCAATATCTGGTTATACCAAGCTAAGGCGAGGGCAGGAGGCACGGGTTTTCAGTTTTTTGGCTCTTTAGATATATAAATCATTAAGATTGCAAATCTTAAGATCTTGAACTTTAAACGGTAAATCTTTGCATCCAGCTCTTGTCACCTTTGAACTGGCTAGAATCAGGCATTCTTTTAACATGCTTCTTGTCTTTAAAAAGCCACGATTTTTACACATTAAGATGTTATCCAGTTGAATTAGGAAAGTCTCAGCTTTGGCATGGCAGTCACAGTGTCTGAGCGTGTTCTGTTACCAGATGTGAACTGGGCAGAGGTTTATGAAATAAAATCTAGAAATGGCACTGTGCAAACCAACGATGATTACTCTCTCTGATTCACCAGTGCTGCAGTGGGGAACAGAAACCTCACAGTGGAGCAGATGTCGCCCAGCTAAGCATGTAAAAAGTCTATAAAAGGGCACAGCCAGGCTTCCTCTGGGACTTCATCTAGAGGTCAAGGAAGGGGCCTCTATCCCACAGGGTAATTTTCATAGTTTGGTTCCTGTCCGCCTTGCTTAGGGTAGTATCCTCAATGCCCAGAACAACGCATTGCAAGCCATTAATAAAGATATTTTGAATGGATGGATGGCAGGCCGTACCAGCCAGGCTCTCCCCTGTGCATGCACAGGACATGTGTAGAGGAGATTGTTTATATAGCCACCGTTTGACGTGGAGCTAGAACCCAGTAAACTGCAAAATTCACGAGTGGAGCAGAAGTGGCTGGTTTACTAGGAAACTTTTATAAACACTCAAGGTAATACAGCAGCAACAGCGAAGTAAAAGCCCCAGAGCCTCACTGCCATGGGCAAAGAGGCTTTGAATGAGGCCTTTCATGTGATAAGCATGATGTGTGAATCACAGTTTTAAAAAGTGATCATGGTTTTCTTCAGTCATTTTCTGATATTTTCTTATGGGCATAGACGAGTGTAACCTGCGCCTATGACACCAATGAGGACAGACAGGCAGGCAGGATGCCCTGTTTTTGCTTGTGATTACCAAAATAGCAAGTTTCCAGTCTGATTTTTCTCCCTAGGCGCTCTTAAATGTCATCCTAAGTATCACTGCAGACAGGGAGCAAACTGGGTATGGAGATTGCCTCCAACACAGCAGATGGATTCCCGTTTTCTTACTGTAGTCACTGCTGTGTCATTATGGGGGAAAGCAATTGAACAACAAGGAGCAGACATGTGAAATTAAGTCTTTGTTACCTATAGGCAAAGAAGTACATTGATTTTGTGAGATGTTGTCAGAAGAGGAATGATAGGAATCTCCTCCCAGTGTGTGTGGGTATGGGAGACAGATTAGGAGGACCAGGGATTTCAGGAGCTACTAAATGATAAGGTGTGAGATCTTAATCACAAAGATGATACTTTACGTATAGGATTGGGCCTGAGAGAAATTATTGAAGTATTGTAGGAGTGGTTTGGAGGGGGAGGAGTTGGAAAGTACAGAGGGGACTCCTGGGGAATAAGAGAGCTTGCTTTTGTTCAGAAGCATTAGTCTTTAATGTTGAGGGCATTTGAAAAGACCTAGAATGGAAATCATACTAAAAATCAAATCAGCAAGTTTTTTTTTTTTTGAGATGGAGTCTTGCTTTGTCACCCAGGCTGGAACACAATGGTGCAACCTCAGCTCACTGCAACCTCCACCTCCTGGGTTCAAGTGATTCACCTGCCTCAGCCTCCGGAGTAGCTGGGACTACAGGCGTGTGCCACCACACCTGGCTAATTTTTGTACTTCTAGTAGAGTCGGTGTTTCACCAAGTCCAGACCGTAAGTGATCTGCCTGTCTACCCAAGTGCTGGGATTACAGGCATGAGCCACCACAGGCATGAGCCACCACGCCCAGCCGAGTATTTTACTTTTTCTTATTCTTTTTTTTTTTTTTTGAGCATCAGTTGTATGCAAGGCACTGAAACAGTCTGTGCTTTTCCCATGTTTCATGTTTACAGTTGCTTCTCCCAAATGCGCACGGATGAGAAAAGAGGAGTCACACTCTATGTGCATATCTTTGGCTACTTTTTATCAAGTAGGCACAGATAGTCAAAGGCATTTGTGGACACTCCTCTATTACTATTTTTAGACCTATAAACTAAAACTTAAGTACTGTGACACGATAGCCATAACGTTCCCTACAGCTCTTCACAATATGCCAATTACTGAAATGGTTTCTTTCCCTTGATGCAGCCCCAAAGCAGTGAGATCATGAGGTGGGCGAGCAAGAGAAAACAATATTTAATTTGTCCTAGAAGGGTGCCATGGGAATAAAAATATTCTCCTTTCCCCTGAGGTTTAAATACGTGGACACAACCAAAAAATGCAGGAGTGAAGCCCACCGACCAAGCCCGCACGTAATTACCTAATTAAATCATTTTCATCTAATGAATATAAGCAATAAAATAAACTGGCATAGCAGTGAGTCAGGGAGTGATTCCAGCGGAAGCAACCGCAGAGCGGGCGCAGCTGCGCTGGGACTTGCAGAGCCTTTCCGCCTATTTTCACGTGACGCCCTTGTTTGCACTTCAGCTGCAGGTGAGCAGGTGTGAGAAGGCGGCTCTGTCTGGCAGTCTCATAAGCACGGTTGGCCCTCCTGTGCACCTTCACCCTTTGCCTGGGGAAAGCTCGATTTTACCCGAGAATGCTGGCGATCCTAGCCGGGGCTAAGTGTGTTCCCCAGGGCTGTGGGTGAAGGGGTTTCCCCAGCTGGCCTGGAGTTTGTCAGTGATGGATTATTTACAAAGACAAATCCCAGGTGCCTTGATCTTGGTAATGGCAGGTGGAAAAAGTTGATGGTGTTATTCTGTGCTGCTTTAGCGTGAGATCAGCAATGAGTGCCTTCTGTCTCAAACGGTGAGGGATAGTTTGGAAATATTTGAGAACAATTTCTCAGCCTTTACTATCTTGTTTTACTTCACCCTTCAATACTGTCTTCTTGGCTGGGCACACTGGCTCACGCCTGTAATCCCAGCACTTTGGGAGGCCGAGGCGGGTGGATCATTTGAAGTCAGCGGTTCAAACCCAGCCTCGCCAGCATGGTGGAACCCCATCTCTCCCAAAAATACAAAAATTAGCCTGGCCTGGTGGTGTGTACCTGTAATCCCAGC